GGGGTGGGGGGGGGTAACAACCTTTGGCCCTGTGAGGATCTGTGGTTTTAGTCAGTGTATTCTGTCTGTACCAGTTTAGGTCTCCTCAGTGTCTGCCCCCAGCTCCTCCCACACCTGATCCTCGTTCTCTCTCCCCAGGTGTGTCTCGTCTCCCTTCGTTAGCTCTCCTATATTCAGTGTCTTGTTCTCCCTGGAGTCAGCCTTGGTTGTTACCGACATCTGGTGAAAATTTCATGTCATTAGCACCTCTAGTAATATATTTACTGAGAAAATGGTGACGTGTTCAATACTTATTTTACCCGCTGTAAAAGTAAAAGTTACTATTAAAATTATTTGTAAAATTACAGATCCTCCAAAAAGTTAAACAACAAAGTAAATGTACATTGTTACTATCATCATGACCAACCTGCACCATAAAAAAATAAAACCGTTCAAACTGCGGTCAGAATAATACACTTTTATCTGAACAATAATCAGCATACATCAAATGTGTTCATGATGTTTTAGCAGATATTTTGCACAGTAAAAAATAAACTGCTTGGCTTCTTATTCTTTGTCAAACAAAACAAATGAAATCAGTTTTGTTTTTGTATTTAATCCCACTGAACAAATCTCAGCCTTTGCTTCTGATGACAGATTTACTATATTATTTTATTTTGTGTCAGATTACTCAACAACGGTGCACTCACAAATCAAAATGCAGTTTATACTTGGAGTACATTACAGAGTGATGTTAATGAACAAATAAAGTTGCTTTGAGGACCTTCTGCTTTGAACAGCATATTGTATCCGTCCACTAAAACTTTTTACACTCACATTAAACTAATGGCGCTTGTTCTTCAGCATATTTTTGTTCTGAGGTGTTTGAAAGTTTTAGACTCCATAAAAGTGGTATGAGGTTTCTTTTTAGAGCCCCATTAAACATGCAGGATATTATAAGTCAATGACTGTAAAGTAGACAAACACAGAGGACGTAAACATCAAGATGTTTATGTTCTGGAAACAAGTTATGTAAATTTGTAAGGTGAAAAAAAAAGAATTTCTCGCCTCCGTTGATCAAACGGAGAAACTAAAGAGAATTTGTCACTTTAATAGTCGAAGAAGAAAGCGTGGCTCGTTTTTACAGCTTGGAAACTCTCAGAGCAAACGTCGAGCTATTATTAGAACGTGACAACAGAGAGAAAAATGAACGAAAACAGACGACCACATTTTCAGGTTTTATCCCAGTCTACAAGCTAAAAACATGTTAAATGTGTAGCCACTCCTCAGACATAAGAGCAGCTGAGGAATCTGACAAAACAAGAGTCTTTTTGCAGAACATACAAACAAACAAACCCAAMAAAGTGTTAAATATTCAGAACCAACTAAGACAACAAAATTAGAAAATGTATTATTCTWAGACTCAGTTCGATTGGGGACCAAAATTGCAAGATTTGTTTACATTTTCAGTTGGTGTGTTCTCAGTCACACTGCTTTGTGTCAAACAAGCTAAAAACCCTGTGAACCACATGTTCCCTCCCTCACCTGTGGGGGCGCTGCAGCAAGGCCCACTGAAGAAATCAACACAAAAACCTCTGAAGAAGACACGGAGTGCAACTTCCTTCTTCACAAAATGCAAACAGATGTCAGATTTTAGTGGTTGTAGGATTTATTTATTTTTTGTTGGTTTTTGGCAAATATGCCAAACAAACTCTCTTCAACAATGAGTTCAGCATGAGAGGAAGACGAGGCAGAACCGTGGAGAATATTGTTTTTTGCTGAGACGACTCCATGTGAGGCGGCGTTCGCTGAGAAGGAGCGAGTCCAACTTCACAGCCATGATGTCCACCTGATACAGACACCCAGCGAGGTATTTCTACACATTCTCACTCCCAAGTCGTCACATATTGACGCTTAAGGTAAGG